CACATTGAACCGATTTTTTATTTCCTTTTCAAGGACTACATCAGTATAAAAAACATATCCAATCAGTTTAAGAGCAGAATCACTAACTGGCTTCTGGTACCACAGTATTGTGTTGTAAATACTGATTGAATGATTGCATTTAATAGTTGCAGGACTATGAAGACTTCCAAATATGGATGGTGGATCCTGATGCACATCTTTGCTTAGTGAAAAATCTGTTGTGGGAAAAAAAAAAAACATAATAAATAAACATGAGTATCAATTTGATCTATTTATATCCAGAATAATGCTACATACAGCAGAAGCAGAGCAGCAGCAGGGTGATCCTGCTTAGGGTTCTGATCATGATGTGTTTATCTTCCTCTTTGTCTCTGCAGGGACTGACAAGTTCAACACATGTTAGAGGATCAACTGAGAGGGGAGGAGACTTAAACTGGGTGGATTTTGATGGAACATTTTTGAAGTGGCACCCTAATTTAGACTTTTACTCCCAGTAAAAATGTTAAGTTTATAAATTTTCTAATCATTTAGATTTTTTTCTGAAAGACAAGTCTTTGACAAGTTTTTGCTCCTACGTAACAGCAACATAGTAAAAATACATTTTTTTGTAAGAACTGACTAAATAATAAACAATTTAACAGGTATTCAGCTAACAGACTGTTAGAATTTTTCACAGGACTCCAATAAAAATCACTCAGGAAATCTGAGGGGATGGGGGACTTGAATTATGAACAGAAAATCTGTTGCATATGATGCTAACAAAATCACTACAACTAAATCTCATAAAGGTGATGCAGACCCTTTATAGAAAGGCTTTCTGTTGGCTCTAGTTCTTCAACCTTCCTGAATCTTCTGTTCTGCCACAAATAGAAGCCATTCTATCCTACAGCTTGAGGTAATTTCCATGGACTCTACTGAGTTACGGTCCTCGTCTGTCAAAAACATGCATAACATGCAAAAAAGAGAGCACAGCTATCATACTAAAAGGTGGTGTTAGCAAGACATTTCTAAACTTGTAGGATTGAGAAATTACGTCTAAAACAATGTGCAAACATTTTACTGCACACTTTAGTGTTATGATTCCCAGTGTGTTTGGAACTGACTCCTGCCTCATGTGTTTTGCTTCCCATCCAGGAAGCTTTTTCAAACAAAACGTCTTCAAACTTCGAAAACAAAGTTCAGTGGTTTGTTTTTTTAACTCTTTTAACTTTTTTGGAATGACCTAGATGATTGAGAATCTTTATGAGCATATTTCCCCAGATGTTTGCACTGCTGCGCCGTGTCTGTAGCGCTGACACCTGTAGCACCTGAGGTGAGGCGGAATGAATGGGCCTTACTTGGAAACCTCTTCTAACTCTTTCTGGTTACACTGACTCTGAAAACTCTATCAGCAGTGATGCACTTGCCAACCTTTCCTCTTGTATGTTTTTATAAAGTCCCTGTATTGTGTTAGTCTTGCTTCCAAAAAAGTTAATCTTTAATCAATCTAAATCCTCTTTACTTGGTATTCCTGTTATTACGTCTTTCAGTGTGTTATTCTCTCCTGTGACTTTTATTTCTATGACATCTCTTTTCCCTATAGGTGTTTAACATCCAATGGGTGTTTTTGTTTTTCTCCTCATTTTTGCAAATTACCAGCAAGTTTCCATCTCTCAACTCCTTCACCATTTCAACATTCCCAATTCTCTTTTTCATTTCTCTGGAAATCATCATGGGGCTCAAATTATTTTGTTTTTCTCACCACTGGGTCTAAATATTATTTTTGTCACTTCTCTAATTACCTTCCTTTGCACAACTATTTTTTCATCTGAACAGCTTTCTTCTAATTCCCGTTTATTTCCTCCATTCTCAAACCACCTTTCCTCCCTTTTACCCCTTTCTCTATCTCTCCCTTTCCAGTCTTCCTCACCTACTTCTGACCTGCCATTTTGTTACATACAGCAAAACGTCACCCAAAAAAAACCTGATTGTCAGCCAAGTCCCAAAAAACATTTTTTTTTTGTTTTGCTTTAAAGTATTTAAAGGTGGAGGTGTCATAATTGTTGGCACAAATACTGGTCCAGTTCATCCTTCAACACACCTGTCAGTTCCACCATGTTCTGGATCAGCCGTCATCAGGTCGACTCGCTCACGTGGCAATATAACCAGCTCTGAGGCCAGTCACTGGGGCCAGATGATAAAAAGCTGTTACTGAGTTTAGTTCAGCATTCCTGTAAACCTTTCTGTTTGCCTGATTCTGACCTAAATAATTCTCCTGATTCTCTTCGCCTGCCTGAGTCCTATCGGACCTGTCACATTGTGTTTTTCTGATTAGACAAATATTTCTCTCACTAACTTACAATAAACCCTGCAGAAAGTCTGTCAAAGGTTTCAATACAGAGTTAATCAAAACAGTTGAGGAAGATAACATGTTATGAATAATTCCTGAGAAAGAGCATAGCTTGTTATAAGAATGATTATTTTCCATTCCAAACACTCCCTAATAGGATAAACGACTCCTCTCCTTCAGACACCGCCTTGCAACTTTGAAGCCAGAGTAAATACTTTTATAAAATAAGTAAATGCAGAATCAGCTCTCATAAATCAATATATGTAAGGGGAGAACACAGGAAATTGAATTTCAGTTCACTTCACATCGACAACTTCAATTGTCGATGTTTTTCTTAAAGGCGATTTCTACCAATTTTTACTGATAATTTATTTCAGTGTTAGTGCATTATGCTGTTATGGGCAAACAAAAGACTGAAGACTAACTTTCTAAGAATTTTAAGGATGTGTCCAAATTGGCTCCCTAACCACTCAATCTCTATATTGAGCGAGGACTATATACTGGACTCAGTCAACTGATTTTAGATGGATGATCACTACTTTTCACTCCCCGATGGTCTCGTCACTCTGGCTCTTTGCACTATAATACGTAAATCTATTTATATAAGTATTTGAAATTGTAAATAACGTTTATTGTCATCTATTTTGTTGTTTCATCCTTTATGTAAGCTCTTGTAAACAGCAAATACCTCTGTAGGAAAGCATCATTTGATAAACACCGCCTTCTAGTGGACAGTAATATTCCACTGCTGCGTAATTACTTCTTCTGTGGTTCATTTGAAGCTAATGATGTTATCAGCAGCTAAATTATGGTTTATTTTCTAACAGAGAAGGTTTTTGTTTGAGCTGAAGGCTTCATGCAGCACTGTGCATCACTGGCAGCACAGAAATAGACTGCGCTGTCCTCAGGCTGCCTCAGCTTCAGAATAACAAAAGAAGAATGACTCTGGCCATTACCAGTCACATTATACAAGCTTTTAAATTGATCCTCGACAACATTAGAAGTCAAACGTGTATATCCCAGTAGAGTCATATCCGTTTTCCCAGGAGGTTGTTTGTACCACTGGATCATGTTAAAGTTGGTGTTTGAGTGGTTGCAGTTTAAATTGACAGATTCTCCTTGTCCTTTCATCACAACAGCTGGATTCTGAAGAACGCTGCTCACTAATGGCTCTGCTAAAGTAAATAATAAAGATAAACAGGTTTAAAACCACCGATCTTCTTTGAACAAAGCAGTTATTAAAAATCTGTTTTAAATGTACCTGGAGAACAGAAGTGTAGAGCAAAAAACTTAATGAAGAGTTTGAACATGATTCCAGTCCAGTTGAATACAAAGCTGCATTGATACTGTAAGACTGCATAAGGTTGTTTGCATATAAAGAGGAAGGAGGGGGGGGGCGTTCTATGCTGTCACATTCATTAATCATTCTCTTCAGAAGGAGTAACAGATAAAGTGGAGATTTCTATTCCATTAAGAAAAATGCTAAAGGAATTAAATTTGGTTTATTTAATATAAGATCTCCATCTTCAAAAGGTTTATTAGTTAATTAGTTGTTGTCTTACAGAAACCTGGCTTCAACAAGAGGATGATGTTAAAATAAATGAAGCAACTCTCTCATGCTATCTCACTCAACCTATTTAAATGTCCATGTGCCCAGAAATTCTGGGCAAAAGGGAGTAGAAACAATCTTTCAGCTTGACTTACTGATTAGTCCAAAGCCAGTTCAGTTAATAGTTACAATTATTTTGAAAGTTTAACCCTTAGTTCCCCTCATCCAAATTGTCAAACAACAAAACCTCTTATGTCTCTTTGCATAGTCAACCAGGTGCGGTGCTGTAATATTGCAGGGGGCAACTATTTAATTTATTCCCCATTACAAATTGTTGATTCTATTTATGGGGTCACTAGCTATCTGCGTACAGCTCTAGGCAATGCAGTCCCTTTAAAAAAGCAGAAATCTAATAATAGGAAGCTAGCTCCTTGGTTTAATACAGAACTGTGCGCTTTGAAGCAAAATGTTGGGAAATATGAAAAAAAAAAGCTGGTGCTCTACTGTAGGCACTGATTTCCTCTGTGCTGACGGACTGCTTGTGGATGTTGCTAACAGACATTTGGGCTGTTAGTACATGCAAATTTTTTTTGACTTCTTGGGATGCTTTCCAGGGTTTATTTGGCCGATTTCCTTCATTAACTGTTCCCAACTTTCCAAACACTGACACAAAAGATGGAATACAGCACTGTATTGCGACGAATGGTGCTCTGGTGTTGATGCGTGCTTGCCAACTTGTCACGACAAACCTGGGTATTTTGCAGGAGGAGTTTGCCAACATGGAACGTTTAGACATTGTCAGATTGTGTTGACCTAAAAAAGCAAAAGTTAAATGTCTTTTATATTGTGAGTTTAAAGCTAAATAACTTGTTTGCTTCTGGATTTACACCCAGTAAAATGCTCTTCTAGTTTTGGTAATAATATTCTTATCCAACAATAAACTATGTTTTCATGTTTAGCAGAAATCCACTGAATAAAAACACTTTACACTTTTGTGGAAAGCACTGTTTAATACTCATTCAGCTAACATGTTTAGCTATAACAAAATATGAATAGACAACTCCCCCTACTGATGATTAAGAGTAATGTTGTCTCCAGCAGTTGGGTTTTTGTGCAGGTCTATCAATCAGCTGCATCACTGTGTTGACTTACAGCACAGAAATACAATCCACTGTCTTCAGGCTTCGAGTTGTTCACTGTCAGAGATCCAGTCTGAGCATCCTTCTTCTCTGCGGGAAATTTCTCCTCACTGAAGCCTTGTTCATACTTATGTGGAGGAGTTGTTGTTGTAAATACTATTAGTTTCATGTTCTGTCCAGACAGCTGTTGGTACCAGTACATCTGGTAGTAAGAAGCATCTTTAGTGTGACTGCAGCTCATGGTGGTAGACTGACCCTCCTTCGTCCACAGCAGAGGAGTCTGATTGACATCACTTCCATCAGCTAGACCTGCACATGTTTAAACGATCATTAATAGACGTGTAAGCAGCTGATGATCAAGCAACTGATCAAACCTCCTGCTTAGCAAAAGAAAAACTTATCTTACCTGTTATCCAGAGAACAAAAGGAAACACACTGAAGAATCTGGGTCTAAAGGGAATCATATTTTACAACTAACATCAAACGAAAACTTAGTAATCTGTCAGTTTTAGAAAGCACACATAAAATGATGCAGAAAGTCACTTCCTTCTGCTGTTATCCCACTGAGAAGTAATATTTGTTAAACGAAAGGAGATCAAATGAAATGAACCAAACTAGAAACCAAAGAAGGTCTGTGTTAGACAAAGTGCAGCTTTTAAGCAGAAGGAGGAGTGTGCATCAGGTGGGATCGAGATGGTATTACTGTCCTCTTTGTGTCTAGACAAACTGATTGACTGAACATGTTAGAAGATCAACTGATTAAGGAGGAGCCAATTATACATTTTCTCTCTAACGTATACAAGGTGAACTAAGTTATGTCCTTTTGTTCTGGGAATTATTATGTTTTTATCTTTACCTGCTTTTTTCTGCTCTTACATTCCTTGTATTTTTGCTGGGAAATAATCTCCTAGTAATTCCCTTTTACATATATTGATTTATGAGTGCTGTGTTAAATTCATTCAGGCCACAGAGCTGCAAAGCTACAAGATATCTAAGTGAAAGGGATTGTTTATCATATTAGGGAGTGTTTGGGATAAAAACAATGGTTCTTGTAACAAACTAGGCTGTTTCTCAGGGATTATTTCATTATATTGTGTGTTATTTTCAATTTTCTGTCTTTGTGTGGGTCACAATATGTAGAGACCCTGGAGCTCTTTCTGCAGGGTTTTTAATTAGAAAGGTACAAAACGCTGTCTAGATCAGAGGAGGGCAGAACTTCATGCTGTTAGGGCTGTTATGATCATCTTGTTGTCTTTTTGCTTTGCAAAGTATAATTAAGTGCTGACTGAGTGCAATCCACCTATCTCAGTTTATAGTTGAATACCTATTTCCCATAACATATTTCATTGTAAAATCAATATTAAGCACATTGAATTGTCTTTGCACTGAATTGTGCTATATAAATAATCTTTCCTTGCCTTGCCTAGACATTTATGAGGTGTTTAGATGCTTTGACATATTTTTTTCCTTTAAAAACAATTGAAAAGCTTTTGTTGTAAAAAATTAGTGAACTCAACCTCTTGAGTTACTGCTTGTGGTCCTAAGTACTACACAATATCTTCCTGAACAGAACATGGCACCACTAGCACTCTCAGGGAATGTTTGATTTTTCGCCCTACCATACATGGGACAAAAGCCCACAAAAAGTAAAACCCTGGAAAGGTTAAATTAACTGGGTAAATGTTATTGAAACGCTACCCTGGCCTTGAAAACAGTCCCTAAACTGCAACACACACACACCCATGAACACACAAGTTGGAATACACTTCATCACTTGTAAATGACAAATTTACCTTTTGACAGTGTGGGATTTATGTGTCTTTTCTTTATAAACTGTTTTTTATTCATTAAAACAAGCTGATGTTGAATATAAACATATGAAAAAATATCTGAAGTTTTAACAAAATCTAGTCATTAGCTCCACCTACAGTTTATTTAAATCCAAAATGTCTTCAGTTCAGTGGTTCTCCATCTGTTGGGTTTTTGTGCAGGTCTATCAATCAGCTGCATCACTGTGTTCACTCACAGCACAGAAATACAATCCACTGTCTTCAGGCTTCGAGTTGTTCACTGTCAGAGATCCGGTCTGTGCAACCTTCTTCTGTGCGGGAAATTTCTCCTCACTGAAGCCTTCTTCATACTTATGTGGAGGAGTTGTTGTTGTAAATACTATTAGCTTCATGTTCTGTCCAGGCAGCTGTTGGTACCAGTACATCTGGTAGTACGTAGCATCTTTAGTGTGATTGCAGCTCATGGTGGCAGACTGACCCTCCTTGGTCCACAGCAGAGGAGTCTGAGTGACATCACTTCCATCAGTTAGACCTGCACATGTTTAAACGATCATTAATAGATGCAAAGCAGCTGATGATCAAGCAAATGATCAAACCTCCTGCTTAGCAAAAGAAAAACTTATCTTACCTGTTATCCAGAGAACAAAAGGANATAGATGCAAAGCAGCTGATGATCAAGCAAATGATCAAACCTCCTGCTTAGCAAAAGAAAAACTTATCTTACCTGTTATCCAGAGAACAAAAGGATACACACTGAAAAATCTGGGTCTAAAGGGAATCATATTTTACAACTAACATCAAACGAAAACTTGGTCAGTTTTATAAAGCACACATAAAATGATGCAGAATATCACTTCCTTCTGCTGTTATCCCACTGAGACGTAATGTTTATTAAATGTAAGCAGATCAAATGAAATGAAATGAACCAACCAGAAACCAGAGCTGGTGTGGGTTGGACGCGCAGCTTTTAAGCAGAAGGAGGAGTCTGCGTCAGGTGTGATCAAATGGTTTTACTGTCCTCTTCGCCTCTAGACAAACTGATTGACTGAACATGTTAGAAGATTGACTGAGAAAGGAGGAGCCAAAAACTGGGATCATTTTCACTGAATATGCTTTAAGTAAAATCCTGATTAAAATTTGAATACAAGCAAACAGTGTTCATTATGAACCTGATCTCATATAACTGTAGCACTTTAAATATTTATCCTAAATTTAACCTGAAAATATGATCAAACACAAAGTGGCTGCAGCTTAACGGAGCACAGAAATGTTCCAAACCCATAGAAAAAAGATCAAACACATGTTTTTGTCACCTTCTCATCAACAACACAGGGTCTCTAGGCCTACAGTACAGCTCTATTTCTGTGTCCTAGCTTGGGTGGTGATATAATATCACAGTACAACCTCTTTTACAGCCAGTCTAAAAGTCTGTCTCTGATAGGAAGTTAGCAGCTGCTTTATTTGACCTGCTCGTGGGATGTTTCAGTGAATTAAACCACTTATCAAACCGTTTGCAGTGTTACCTTACACTTTATATAAGCTTGTCTCAATTTGAGTAGAACTGACCGCAGCCTTCTCTCCCATCCTGTGATTATGATTTCTTAATTGTCCCTATGTTTTTGCACAAACTGATTCACTGAACACATTAAAAGATCAACTGAGAAATAGGAACCAGGATCATTTTCACTGGATTTTTTCAAGAAAAATTCTTTAACAGGTTCATCCTGATAACCACTACAAATGACTTTAAAGATTTAGATATTTATTTCTTATGAAAACATTTTTAAACATCATATATTATTAAAAAATATATGCCGGTTAACTTGAAGTGTTACAGTTTTTTAAGTGCAGGCTTTGTTGTTAAATCCTAAAGGTATTGAAAACTTTAACAATGGTTTACCTGTTAGAGCCAATAGGTGTAAACAGAATTTAAAAATCATTTTATTAAAGAAGCAGATAATATTAATAATACTATCAGGATGAGGGAAGGTCTGTATGCAAAAAAAGAGGAGGGATAACACAATTGTCACATTTCCTCAGACCAGCATCTGACAGTTAAAAGAGGAAGGGGAGGTTTCTATTCTGATGTCTGATGATTCGCTGCTATAATTTAATATCCTTTGATGCAGCTGCTTAGTCTGTGTTCATGTTCTGGATGATCAGAGAGGGTTTTTGTAGAGGTTAAACACCAAATGTTTCACTGTGTACTAGCTGCACAGTAATACATGCTGCTGTCGTCTGGTTGGAGTTTGTTTATTTCAAGATAAGAGTACTCTGATCCTTGTCCAGTCACTCTGAATCTATTTCCAAATTCCTCTTCAACCAGTACAGTGGCATAATAAACGTATCCAATTAATTTAAGAGCTGAATCAGCGATCTGCCTCTGGTACCACAATATCGTATAGTATCCACTGATTGAATGGTTGCAGCTGATATTTGCAGAACTCGGAGGACTTCTAAATATGGCAGGTGGACCCTGATGGACATCTTTGCTTAATGAAAGATCTGTGTTTGGAAAAAAACCAAAAACATAATAAATACACATGAGCATCAAATCAATCTATTCTTCTCCACAATAATATTCGACTTACGGCTGAAGCCGAGCAGCAGCAGGGCGATCCTGCTGAGGCTTTGAATCATGATGTGTTTATCTTCCTCTTTGTTTCTGCAGAGACTGAAAGGTCCAACTTATGTTAGGGATTTGCTGAGAGGGGTGGAGACTTAGACTGGGTGGATTTTAGTGGACCTGGTTGAATTTGCACCCAAACATACAGTAGATTTTAACTGCAGTAAAACAATACTCACTCCAGTTGCAAACACGTGCATTGTTTTAATGTAATGTATGGAGAAATTATGATATTACCAAATAACTACCTGTGGATAAGAGCCTTCTTATTTTCCTTAGGATGGCAATAAAAAAACATCAGGAACTCTGAGTGTATTCATTAACCTCAGAATCAAACATATGGTAAGGATATCAGGGTTTTTTTAAACTACCCATGCATGTGGATTTTTCAATTACATAAAAACATCCTAAGCGGAATAAGTACTCCTTTCTGTGTTTCTATGTTTTTGTGTAACCTCTCCATAAAACAGACAGAGTATCTATGGTTTATACAGATAATTTCTTGTAAGGCTTGATCAGTCTACACCTATAGTTACCAACAAAAGCTTCAGCTTCTTACTTTTTCTCCTTGTGTGAAAATACTTATATAAAATAGTGTGGGAATATATTATTGTTTATATGACCTCCTAAAGCAGTGTTTTTAGTAAAAACAACTATTTTTTTTAAGGAGAAAAACAACTTTAATACAGACTTATGGTGTCTAAGTGGTGACTTAAACCTCAACTTTACTTTTATTGTCCCCTGAGGGAAGTTATGTTTGTAGGAGGGTAGAAACATAAGAAAAACATGAGAATATAATCAAATAATTTCATGGACATCACAGAAACAAAGACAACTTAGGGCAGAAATGTTAGGACAAATCACAGCTGTTCCCTTTTTAACTCAATGTTCAAACTTCAATGTTGGCGGTCTTATGGCTTTGGTTAAAAATTTGTTCTGCTTCCTGCTGGATTTAGCCTTTAGCTATATGAATCTCCTTGCTAGAGCTAAGAGCTCAACGTAAGGGTACGCTATATTGTCCTGAGACTTGGAATTTCCCCTCCAATAAAAAGTTAACAAGTCATTGATGATAATACTTCTAACTTTTGTAATATGGTGTAATCCTTTTTTATCTGCCAATAAGAGGCTGCCAAACCAGTTGAGGATGGCAAAGTTCAGGACACATTCAATGGAGTGGTAAAAAATGTCCATTTGTTTGCTGCAACCCCAAATTGGTTTAGCACCTAGAGAGAGTGCAGTCACTGCTGTGATTTTTTGAAAACAGCATTTCTACTTTCATTAAAACACAGCTTACTTTTTAGGACAACACCAAATATTTAAAACTGCTGACCTACTTCACTGCCTCTCCGCTGATCACAGTTAAAGTTGGTGTGTTTGGTTTCTTTCTAAAATCAATAAACATATCCTTGGATTTTGTAACATTTAAGTCTAAGACATAATTGTTAAACCAATGAATATAATCATCCACCAGTGACCCCAGGTCCACTCCCTGTAGAAAGCTACTGTAACTCTCACTGCATTATAAGCAAACTTCAAAATATCTCATTCAGGATGTAAGCTTCTCCTGGCATCGGTGTACAGTTTATATAAAATGGGCGAGATGACACAGCCCTGTGGGGAACAGGTGGAGGAAAGAAGGATGTCTGACAGGGAACCACAGACTCTTACACATTGTGAACTGGTTGTTAAAAAATAAATAAGATCCAGCCAACAATGTTAGGAGAAAACACAACATTTACTAATAGTTTCAAAGCTAAAATATGTATCTGGATTATATTAAAGGCCAAAGTGAAATCTAAAAACACTGGGTGGCCAGGTCTTCAAAGAGTTTAAAATTAAAGTTCAGGTGTTAAGACTGGTTGATCCAGGCCTCTTTTACTCTTGTATGCAAATTGTAGGAACATCAACTCTCTTTTGATTAATTTTTGAAACACAATCATAACTATAGTCTATAGGTCTGTAGTCATTAACAGACTTTGGGGATTTTACTTTAGCCACAGGCACAACGGTTGACTTTTTCCACAAGTTTGATGACTGTCTGCTACTCCAAGGAGCACTTAGACATATGATGGAACAAGTTGATCTGAACAGCGACTGGAAATATTATCAAGGCTTTGAGTTTATATTGTTTTGCTTTTTCCCATTACAGCTTTTACATCTTAAACATTAAAGCCAAGATTAAAGTGAAAATTGTGCTCTGTGGTAGAGGCAGTTTCAAACCTTATCGAATCTACCTCTTTTCTAAAAGTAAATGAGTCAAAGCTTGGATCAAAACTATTAAAAATAATCAGCTAGTCCTTAGACAGATGGTGACCTTACGGAAAAAAATTCACAACCAATACACAGAAAGTATAACTATAGTGAAACTTTCTCAACAAATATTAAATACTCTCCAATAAATAATGTTCTTCTGACACATTGCATTAGTGGAGGTTGGTTGAGGAACAAAATGCAGAGATGAGGGAGGCAGAGATGAGATCTTGCACGTACAATGAAATCAAAAGGCAGCATAAACAAATCCAAGAACTAAAAATACAGGAAACCAAAAAAAAAGGAGACATCAGGGGAAACACACATGGTTAGGCAAGTATGAAACAAGAAACCAGCCACAAGGAACTGCAGAGGTGGTGTATATAAGGGAGAGAAAAACAATTGGACTAATGAACCGATAGGGAGTAGGCGTAGACAGAAGTAACCAGAAGGACATAAGGGAAAGGAGACCGGCACAAGGGGACAACAGACAGAAACTCAAGAAAATACAAGACTGCTTAAATATAACACTAAATGGAAAAGAAACAATGAACAAGAAAACACAGAATAGCATAAATCAAAGTGGAACTGAAAACAAACTCAAACAGAAGTCCACAAGGGGAGAACCATTGAAGGTTTGTTATGATTCATGTCTTCCATAGATAATTTAAAGAAACTATGACTATAGTTTAGAAATTCATTTTCAAATTTCTTTGAAACAGTAAAGAAATCTCCAGTGTTGCTTATGATGTCATTGTTTGAGCCTTTGTGTTAGCTGTTGTAAACTGAAAATGCTTCTGTTGAAAAGTATCTTTTGAGAAACACCGCCCCCTAGTGGACAGTGATGTTCCTCTGCTGTGGTTCTCATAAAGATCATAATCAGCAGGTGAATAATGGTTCCTCTTCTAACAGGAAACCTTTTCCTAGAACTGCACTCTTTAAGTGGCACTGTGCATCACTGGCAGCCCAGAAACAGACTACACTGTCCTCAGGCTGCCCCAGCTGTGGTGTCTGAGCCTGTTTGGGTGCAGTTTAGGTTGTGTTCTCTCTTTCTCTGATAGGTGTGGCTTGGGAGGAGCTGGCTGCACACACCTGAGACTGATGCTCACCTAGAGCGGTATTTAAAGTCTGGCCTCCTGTGTACTCACTGGCTGATGGCATTTGTATTACGAGATAGTGTACAGTACTATATCATAATTATTAGATACTATCTCATTGTTATGAGATGAGAGATGTTAACTTAACCAGTCATCTCGATGTCATGTATCTCTCACAGTCCAAACTGCATATTTTAATTCACTGTGCACATTGGACTCACCTGGTTTAGTGGCTGGCTGATTAAATACATGGCTTGAAGAGGACTTGACTAGATGACTTGTCTCCACATCTCCCATTTCTGCCTGCTATCTCATAATATTTAGATTAACTTTCATAATTATGAGATAATTTAATTCATTGCATAATTATGATTTAGTGATCTCCTAATTAGGAGACGAGGCAAGTCTGTCAGGGTTGGTTGTGGTTTAGGACCCAAATGCAGAGGCAGAGAGGCTGAGGTGATTTTTTGTGGATTTAATCAAAAAAGTAAACAAAGACAGGGATGCAAAATCCAACTAATAAAGAAAAGCAAACCAGAACTATGGAGACATCTGGGGAAACCAAACACTAGGAGTCAGGGAGAGACGAGGTAGGTGGAGAACAGCATGGGAGGACAGCGAAGACAAGGAACCAACAAAGAGTGAGAGCAGAGGGAGAACATATATAGCTGACAGAGACAAAGGGAGGGCTAACAAGCTGACAAGGAGCAAGTGTGAGAGGAGACAACGAGGGAGCCAAGGGGAAAGGAACACACACACACACAAGAGGGCAACAGAGAACAGAAAAACATGACTAACATAAATCACGAAATTACAACCAAACTGGAATTAAACCAATAAAACTAGAAAACGAGGAACAAAGTAAAGAACAACAGAACCAAGACCCTGACAGAGTCAGACAATGGGAAGATTCAAAACGTTTAATGACAGACATAATAAAACAGAACAGAACTGAAATGCACGCTGCTGAGGATAAACGGTCTGCAGGGGGGCGAGGCGCAACCCATCCTGGCACTCTGGATGTTGGAGAAACCATGTGACCACTATCACCTGACTGGAGATGACTATCAGAGTGAGTCACTTACCTAATTAAACGGTTAAGTCCATCCTCTCTGAGGAAGTCAAGATAAAGCTGATGGACAGCCAAACGAGATGCAGCACTGAGCCGTCCAGAGTGTCCCCATGTGGCAACCCCTGTGAGCAGGCCGGAGACCGATCCAGGTCAGAGAGGCAGTTCAGAACCAGACAGTTCCAGGAGTCCGTAGCCCGACCGGGGGCTCCGATCCTAAAAGGTACAGACAGATCCAGGATTCCTGGAATCCACAGAGCGTTCAAGCACGTTCAGAGTTCTATGAGTCCAGCAGACTGCTCAGACATACACATGCAGTTGAAGACAGGCAGGCTCAGTGGTAGAGAGCAACATAGACTAGACTTGGTACCTGGAAAAATGGCTAACTTTAAACTGGTCTCCACCTTGGAGCCAGGCTTAGGGGAACTAAATCTTACCTCTCCCGCATTACGAGCCAAAACCCTGAGGGCTCAGCTGAGAAGAGCCAGGACAGGATCAGGAGACAAACATTAAAACCTCTCAATCTACTGGTCTCCAAGAGTAAGGACATGAACCAGGAACATAACTAAAACTTGTAAAACAAACATGCAATAACTGACACAGAAGCATCATATGTATAAACTAAGAACACACAAATAATGATCTGGCCCTGATAGCTGGGTTGAACAATATATATAATAGAGGAAGCAGGTGAATAAGATAAATGATAATTAGTGAGCAGGGAGGCAACAGCAGGTGAATGAAGTGAGTAATTACACCAGCTACCTGGGCTACGATCATGACACTATCATTATTATGTGATATCTATTGAGTATAGGATGCAAACTATCTGCTTCATGTTTTGTCCCAGCAGCTGCTGGTACCAGTACATCTGGTCACAAGTATCATCTTTATTGTGTCTACAGTCCATGGTTTTAGACAGACCCTCTTTTGTCCACAACAGAGCAGTCTGCGTGACATCACTCCCAACACTTAGACCTAAAGGAGTTGGATATAACATGTGATAAAATCTGATAAATCTAAAGTATTTAGTCAGACAGAATAAAAACAACATTTTGCACAACTTTTAAGATTCAGATTAAGTATAATAAAATCAAGAGTATACCTCCAACACAGAGCAGAGCTGCAGAGAGCTTTATTAGAGCAGCTGGAATCATGACTGTTTTGAGCTGACTGAACTCAGAAACCACGGCCACTGTCAGTGTTTGATGACATCAATGCAAAGACGTGAACAGTTAGATATGGGAGGGTCTTATTAATGTGTGATGTTTCTGTATAGCTCTACTTTGTGCTTGTTTATGGTAATAATCAAAAGCCTTATGCAATCCTGTTAAACATTATTGTAGATTATGGAACCTTCCCAAAAATTAGACTGAAACTCTAACCAGACTGAGACAGGTTAGAGAATAAGAATCTAATAGGGAGTGGATTAAATCAGGGATGGATGAATATATAAGCCTGATAGAGTGAATGTTTAGCAGCACCATGTGAACTGAACTGGGGCAGCCCTGGTGAAATGACTAAAATTACATAGAATGATAGCTCGGGGGAAACCTTAGGCAATAACTGCATTAACAGAATGTCCCATATAAAACATAGCAAGGAGGGAAAAAATAAAAATAAACCCCAAAAAGAAGCCAACACCCTCAGATTATGCCAAATACACACTTCTGATGGTGCAGCAAATAGTGATTTTGCTCAAATTTTGAAAATTTTTTACTGCAGACAGGAACATGTTCTGTAAAAAACATCTGAGCCCAACACTGTCATGGTCAAGTCATGGCTCTGTTCTGTGCGCTGCTTAATTTGGGGACAGTCTTCTAAAGTTGGCTGATAATAAATACCAAAACACCCAGAGAAGAAAACTAAATCGGTGGCAAAACTCATTGATTTCTGATCAGTGTGACTGTTGACTGAACAGATACTGTAAGGCATCAGGATTACTAAAACTGGATGTTAGCCTGGTCTGGAGCAGACTAGCTGGCAGAAGAAATAACTCTGGCAACATATGTTTTTATATTTATGAAACTGAGCTACGGCTTATTTAAGGCAGGATATCAAGGTAACCGTGGCTTAATCTGCTGTTTAGGTTTTCTCAAACAGCCCTCTGTGATGAAACCATAAACTCTGAGCAGGAAAGAGTGAGCCAGAACTACTCAGTCTTTGCTTTCTAATGTTTTTAAAAGGCTGATTCTTTCATTTATAATACTTTTAATCTTTTTAAAAAAAAGTTCAAACATAAAAACTAAGAATTTTTCATGCTATTTTCTGTTTATTCGCTGCTGTAGTTTGATGAACCAGTATTTTGATGCAGGTGTGCTCTTCATCAGTTTGTGTTTATGTTCTGGAGTTTTTGTAGTGGGAAGAGACTGTATGAATCACTGTGCCTACTAGCTGCACAGTAGTAAATGCCGCTGTCTTCTGGCTGGAGTTTCTCTACACGAAGCTCTGAATTCTTGGAGCCATCTCCCTCAACAATGAAGTGGCCTTTGAATTCATCCTCAAGTGTTGCACCAGATATTAGATTATAGGCCATAAATTTAAGAACAGATCCACCAATGGGTTTCTGGTACCACAGTATTGTATCATATGTACTAACTGAATGGTTGCATTTGATTTTTGCAGGACCCTTTGGACTTCCTATTATCGAAGGGGGATCCTGCTGAACAATGGTGGTGAGGGAAAAATCTGTAAAAAAACAAAAAAAACAACAACAACAACAAAAAAGCAAAGTCAGGTTAAACAAAATGTTTCTTTAATTCTTAGTAAATTTAGAGTGAGACCCACCAAGGAGCAAAAAGAGCAGCAGAGCGATCCCGCTGAAATCTCTGAACATCATGTCTCTATCCTTCTGTCTGTCTTATTGGGGACTGACTCGCTAAATGATCAGAGTTTAAACTGAGAGGGGAGGAGATGCAAACAGGGATTACAGCACAAACATCAGCTTAATTTTAGAGTCTGCTTCCATTCACTTATATGGTATCTCTCTCAAGTACACAAAGTTAACCAAGTTACGCCCTTTCTTTTAGGAAATTAAGATGTTTTTATCTGTACTTGTTCTTTTCTGCTTTTATTTTCATTCTATGTAGCGCTGAAAAAATAAGATTAATCAATTATTTAAATAATTGTCAACTAATTTAGTAATCAGTTAATCGTTAAATGGAAAGGCTCTAAGACATGCCTTTAGCTCACAGAGCAAACCACTTAGAGCAATAATCAAGATTGTAAAACAATATATAACATTTTGAATTGAAGATTTGTTTTTTTTCCATCCATCAATATGCTCTATTCAGAACTGTGAAAAGTTTGAGTTTAACTTTGTTTAATTACGTTAAAAGTCTTTTTTTAAGGAGTCTTTGGCTATCTGATTATTAGTCGATTAATCGAAAAAATAATAGTTGCAGCCCTAAGTCTATTGTATCGTTTAATTTATGTGAAGCAATTAATTGTGCTGAATTGTGTTATACAAATAAGCTTTCCTTGCCTTGCTTAAACAAACTTTTATAAACTGTTTTGATGCTTTGACATCTAACCCATTTCTTTTCCTTTAAAAACATTTTTAAAACTTTTGTTATAACAATTAGCAAACTAAATTTTTTTAAGTTACTGCTGGTGGTCTAAAGCACTACAGAATATCTTCCTGAACTGAACATTGCTCCTCCAGCAGTTCAAGGGAATGTTTTTTTTAGCCTTATCGTAGACATGGGACAAAAGCCCACAGAAAGTAAAACACTCGAAAAATATAATTACCAGGGTAAATGTTATCAAAACGCTATCATGGTATTGAAAACCCCCAAACTTCTGGAAGGAATGGAAACAGGCCCTAAACTGTAACACATGTTAAATACAGTAAAAAAATATATACTTACTTACTTGGAAAAGACACATCCACCTTTTTCCCAGTGGGATTTATTGTGCTCGATAGTTTTTATTCATAGAAACAACCTGATGTTGAAGACTTCAAAATATCTTAGGTTGTAACAACATTTACTGTTGTCTTTAGCGCCACCTACAGTTAATTTCAAAGCAAAAGCATTTGGGTTTTTGTGCAGCTCTGTTTATCAGCTGCATCACTGTGTTTACTCACAGCACAGAAATACACTCCACTGTCTTCAGGCTGAGAGTTGTTCACTGTCAGAGATCCAGTCTGAGCATCCTTCTTCTCTGCTGGAAATTTCTCTTTGTTGAAGCCTTGTTCATACTGGTGGCTGTATGCTGTAGTGAAAACTATTTGCTTCATGTTTTGTCCCGGCAGCTGCTGGTACCAGTACATCTGGTTATGATTAATATCTTTAGTGTGATTGCAGCTCATGGTTGCAGGCTGACTCTCATTGACCCACAGCAGAGGGGTTTGATTGACATCACTTCCATCACTTAGATCTGCAAGGGTAATATTTCAAATACTTTTATAATAGGCAGTCAGGTATTATATAAATTTTCAAGATTTACTTTAAAGCTTAAGAGGCAGCTTCTCCTAAGAGTGATGAGCATTATAAAGTCACAACATACCTCCAATACAAAGCAGAGCTGCAGTAAGCTTGATCAAAACACCTGGGATCATTATTGTGTTGCAGGCTAAACTCAGAGACCACAGCCACTGTCAGTGTGTGTGATTTTAGTTCTACTACAGAGATATGAACAGCTGGATATGGGAGGGTCTAACTGTGATACAATGTTTGAGTGGAGCTAATGTGAAAACAGCTTAGATTTTTTTCTAAGACGTGAATGGGTAAGAAAATAAGTCCACAGTTGATGTTTTAAATTTCCAGATGTCTGCAGCTGAAAAAACAATTTTGACAAGATGAGATCAATATCTGTGGGTGTTTATTTTTTATTTTTATTATTATTATTATTCAGCATATTTCACAACAGTCCTATATAACTGGCAAGGGGGGCAACTTTTGTACACACAGTAAATATTTTGATATTATATATATAAAAAAAGGGATCAATGCCACACTTGTTGTTGTGGTGATCAGTTTTGTGCTCTACAAATTAGAAAAGACCCCCAGTAATCCTCATCCAGAGTGTCTATTTTCAGTGGTTGCTGGTTAAACACCAATGTGTTTTATTACCCACATATACTGTGTAATGGTTCTTATTAAATCTTTGCAGAGATTTGATACCTAAATATATTTTTACTGTATATGTACTGTATACATGCAAATATGTTTTTTTTTTCTTCATTTGATGATCTTCTTGAAACATAAATGAATTAAAAACAAAACAGCTTGAAACAAGTAAGTGTGTCATATAGAATACACAGAAATGGAAATCAGATAGGAAAATGTTCGCAGGCAGTAACTGGATGTAAGGGAACAGAGTGAACCACACAAACAGAACAATTCAAAAGGATCCATTGAGATACCAAAATTGTTATGATCTGTCATTTTGGGATTTATGGTTCTGTTTAGTTTTCACTTTGGTTTTTCAGTTAGGCTTGGATTCATGTTCTTCTGTTTTTATTGTTAAGAGTTATCTTTTGTGAATTACTTGTTAGTCTTACTGTTCCTGTTTGTTTCAGTTATCTCCCATCCAGCAGTCATTAGTCTTTGCTCTAATTTAATTTTTGTCATTCATTGTTTATTGTTATCTTCAGGTTATATTTCCCAGTTACTCTCCGTTGCCCCCTAGTGTCAACTTCCTTTCCATTGGTTTTCTTTTAGTTCTTTCTCTGCACACCTGTTCCCACTCAGATCATTGCTCCAGACTTTTTCCTGTTAGTCTCCTCATCAGTATACCCTTACTCTGCAATTTGTCTTTGCTGGATTGCCATGATTATGTCATGCCTTCATCAGTTCCTATCACTCACCTTGTAACTCTATTTTGGTGTTCCTCTTATGTTTAATTTTGGATATGTACTTTGGCTGCATTAAATATTCAGGAAGTCATCTCTCCTTCAGCCTCTGCATTTTGGTTCCAGCTACAAACGTTTACCCTTGTTGACAAAAATTAACATCCCAATGCCATTCCACAGTTTAACTCTCTCCAACTAAAAGTCTCATTAAATCTGATAGTCTAGTAAAGCGCATATGACGAGATGAAGCCAAGTCAATCGGTGATGTGACTCTCCTTCCTGGAATCAGCCCACTGGGAGGTACGGTGTTACACACACTGGCGCCACTTTCCAGCTGATAATCTGAGGTTTTTAATAAAGCTGTAAGTTAATGCAGCTATTTGCTTCAATTTCAGCAGGAAAGTGATTTTATGCTGCTTTAAGGGTTAATGAAAGAAGAGGTTTTATTGTTGATATTTATGACAGGTTGCTGTTTGAAGCACATTGATGCAGCTGGGCTTCTCCTCCCTGTTTGTTCATGTGGTGTATTATCAGAGGGGGTTTTTGTAGAGGCGAGACACTAACTGAGTCACTGTGGACTAGCTGCACAGTAGTAAATGCCGCTGTCTTCTGCCTTGAGCTTCTCTACATGGAGCTTAGAGGATTTTGAGCCGTCTCCAGTGAAGTTGAAATGACCTTTGAATTCCTTCTCAAGCACATCATTGGAATACTGAATATATCCAATTAATTTAAGAGCAGAATCACCAGTCCGCTTCTGGTACCACAGTGTTGTATCATATGAGGTGATTGAATGACTGCAGTTGATTGTTGCAGGATTGTCAGGGTTTTTCATTATCGAGGGTGGATCTTGATGCACTTCTTTGCTCAGAGACAAACCTGCATTAAGATAAGATAATGTGCTTAAGAATAGATGAACAAAATTATAAATTTCTTGATACCTTAGTAAGTAGAGTCCATCCTACCTAAGAAGCAAAGAAGCAGCAGAACAGTCCTGCTGGAATTCCTGATCATGATGTCTTTATTGTCTTCTTTATCTCTGCAGAGACTGACATGTTGAACACATGCTGCAGGACTAACTGAGAGGGGAGGAGACATAAAGCAGGATCACAGCAGCATCTGATTCAAGCACTGTGGTTAGTGCAAGCTGGGCGTCTTTGCTGCAAAGGGTTTTATTGATATTGTCTCTTAATATCTTGGAATAATTGAAAAAATAACGTAGATGTTTGGGAAAAATAAAACAAAGCATTTTATTCTGCTATCAACTAAAATGTCAGGTTATGGAAAAGCTCCAGTGTATTCTAATCTAAACTTATGTGTTTAAACAAATAAAGGGTCTGCTTGTTGTTAGAGATGTGCGTCACTGAATAAAAATAAGATACAGAACTCAATATTCCATGGTGTGGAATTAAGCTTTATTTAAAAAAGGAACAAACACAAATAGAGTAATTTTGAAGTTAAAGCTTGAAATGGTGCTAAATAAATGATTAGATACAGAAATAGTGTTTAGACTTCATCATTAAAGTATTGGTTCTTTGAAAACTGCTGCAAACTGTTATAATTAAGCTAATTTAAATCTAACTAGCACAATGATTTTTTTCATTGGTCATCTTCCTTTTTTCCTGAATATAAATTAGAAAGCAAAGAAATCACTTATCACATTTTGCCATATTACATCTACAAATTTATTGGTGCATTTATGATGTGAATGTGGAAATAAAAGACACTTAGAAAAATCCAATCCAACTTTGAGCTGTTTTATATAAATTAAGCGAATAAAGGTTTCTAGCAGTGCAAAGCCGATACAGACGAAACCTGCAAGTGTAAATAAAGTGATGAATGATTCCACAAAGCTTGGCTTGCACTCTTTACAACCTCACAACACAATACTTGGATTTGTTTTGGGGAAATGCAGTTTGGAAAAAAAAAAAAAAAAGAATTTTCACTTTGTATTTCCAATACCAAATAATGCAACAACAGAAGTCTCAATATATACAAACAAGATTTTCCAGCATTTTCAAAAAAAAACATGTTAGTTACTGAAAAGCAGTGGAGCTGTTCTCAACATTTTTTTTTTTTTTCAAATTCCTCATTGAAAGAACTTTTTCTCTGCGACAACAGCATACAGGCATATAATGGAAGATATATATATATATATATATATATATATATTAGGAACATATTTTAATTAAGGGTATTATTGACAACTACTCTGGTCTCTAGCTCCACCTACAGTTAATTTAAAACAAAAAGGTCTTTGGTTCACCAGGACTCCATCAGTTGGGTTTTTGTGCACCTCTGTTTATCATCTGCATCACTGTATTTACTCACAGCACAGAAATACATTCCGCTGTCTTCAGGCTGAGGGTTCTTCACTGTCACAGATCCAGTCTGAGCATCCTTCTTTTCTGCTGGAAATATCTCCTCACTGAAGCCTTGTTCATACTGGTGAGCTCTATATGCTGTAGTGAAAACTATTTGCTTCATGTTCTGACCGGGCAGCTGTTGGTACCAGTACATTTGGTCGAAGCCATGATCGTTTGTTTGCTCCTGGATTTATACCCAATAAAATGCTCTTCTAGTTTTGGTAATAATATTCTTATCCAACAATAAACTATGTTTTCATGTTTAGCAGAAATCCACTGAATAAAAACACTTTACACTTTTGTGGAAAGCACTGTTTAATACTTATTCAGCCAACATGTTTAGCTATAACAAAATATGAATAGACAACTCCCCCTACTGATGATTAAGAGTAATGTTGTCTGTAGTCTCCATCTGTTGGGTTTTTGTGCAGGTCTATTAATCAGCTGCATCACTGTGTTTACTCACAGCACAGAAATACAATCCACTGTCTTCAGGCTTCGAGTTGTTCACTGTCAGAGATCCGGTCTGAGCATCCTTCTTCTTTGCGGGAAATTTCTCTTTGTCGAAGCCTTGTTCATACTTATGTGGAGGAGTTGTTGTTGTAAATACTATTAGTTTCATGTTCTGTCCAGGCAGCTGTTGGTACCAGTACATCTGGAAGTAAGTAGCATCTTTAGTGTGACTGCAGCTCATGTTTGCAGACTGACCCTCTATAACCCACAACAGAGGAGTCTGATTGACATCACTTCCATCACTTAGACCTGCAGGATTCAAATATCACATCATATAACATTAGAATTAATTAAATACCCAGACACAATGAAAATAAATCATGAAAATAATGTTTAAGCTACATAGACAGCTTCTATTCTTTAATGGTCACAACTACTAAATCCAGGACGTACCTACAACACAGAGTAGAGCTGCAAAAAACTTAAGCAGAGATGCCGGATTCATTATTGAAGTATGAGCAGACTGAACTCAGAGACGGTGTTAGAGCTGTGACAGCACCACAAAGAACATTTTTCTATGGGAGTGTCTGTTGACAGTGAGAACACGTGAGACCAGAGCTGATTAGAGATTTCTCTTCCATGTGCTTTTATCATTTTTTTCTTCAGTAAACTGTGCCTATATGTCCTCTTATACAATTAATTGTGGACAACCCTACAGCTCCTATGGGATGGATAGGAATGTGGTGAGGTCCCTATGCTAAATGAACTAGTGATAGGAAGCATCCTGCTTCCTCTTCTTGCCTCCTTCCTTAGCATCATTCAGATGGCACTCATCATGTCAACTGGTAACACACTTCTGCTTTGACTTAAGACTGAGGCAGACATCCAGAAATACAAAGAACCAAAAAACCAGAAAACATCAGAGAAAACTCATGTGGGGAACCAGAGATGAGGAAGCAACTAACAACAAGGAACCAGCAAACACTGACTGAACATAAGGTGTATCAATGGGAGACTGAACAAAG